TACTGGTCGAGGCTGATCAGGGTTCTCGGTGCGATCAACGGTTTTGCACTATCCAACGTGAATCATGCTTTCCGGTTGTTTAAATAACTGGTCAATTACTCCACGAAAGAAAAGTTTCACTCCATGATCATCATCAATTCGCTTCTTCTTTCAGCTACTGTCACGTGCGCGTTACTTATTGGTGAATCAAATGATCATCGGGGCATTTTGCATTATACTTACTCAATATATGATATACATATATACATGATATATATATATATATATATATATATATATATATATATATATGGAATCGATCATCAAAGTAAAAAAAAATCAAACGTTACGGTAACTCAGTTGTGATCGATTTTGTGATCGGTGATCCAGATTATTCTGTAAATCACTCTTCCGTTTGATGAATTCTGATACGTACTAAGACTATAGTCACGTTCAACTTCTGTTTGGTTATGTAAGCCCTCAATCCAAGTCACAGGTTTTGATGTGTTAAACTAGAAAGATCTACAATGGAATAGACAAAATCAGGCTAATATCACGTTCATATTATAATTTGAACAAAATATGCAGACAAATCTGTCAGAATTCATTTCTTGGGATTAAGTTTGAGGAGAACATTCGTAGCAAATAACGGATCACACTTAGATATATCGCGATATGTTAAAACGAGTTATTCATAAACGAATGCGTGGTGACCAAACGATATTTAAATATTCTATTGAGGGAGCCCGAACGTCTCAGTGTTCCAATCGGTTTCTGTGAAACACCGTCCAAAGACAATAACTGCACAATCTCAATAACTTGGCGTCCCGAATTTCCATTTTCAACTCATTTTCCGTGGGGTGTGGGGGGGGGTTGCTCTCATTGTAAAGTGTCTAGAGTGCTTTTCGTTTTTTAAAGTTTTTTTTCCTTACCAAAAGTCCCATGTCCACATTCCGTATGTTATTCCAAATTTACACTCTCAGACAATGGGAACAGTGGATGAGTTGAGCAGGCAACGTGAACGAGCTCAAATCGAGAAAGAGGTGACCAAATTGTGTGAGACTTTACAAACCTTATCACGTTCGGCCATGCCTCTGGGTAAACTGATGGACTTCGTTCAGGAGGATTTGGAAAGTATGCAGCAAGAGTATGAACGTTGGGCAAGTGAAAATCAATCTTTGAAAATCAAGTTGCGCGAAGAGGAGAGGTCAGTTCATTATTGCACATGTTGGTAAATTCTAATTTGAGCTCAATTTACTGGTAACTTGAATGAATCAAATGCCGTGGTTGCCGTAGTTTCTGTAGGAAATTCAAGCATGAGTGATGAGATTGTAAACAGGGTCAGTTTACAGAGTTAAGAAATAAGTGAAACTGCACGTTTGGGGATGGGACAAGCCTTCTTTGTCATAAGATCTCTGGGAAATTTTGAACAGTACGAAATTGACCGCACCACACTTGTTACTCCTAACACTGGGTGTTTCGGGCCTCATTCACGAGATTGAATGTGATATTTCTCTTCACCAGACACAATATATCTTATATGATATATATGTATATATGTATATTATATATGTATGCTTGATTTTATTGGTGGAATGCTATTAAAATGTACGTTTTCTCGATTTTGAAAACGTTTACTGATGTATTCATCACCATAAAGGCTTACTTAATTTCACATCTTTTCACTTATCCTATCCTAGGTAAAGTCAACAAAATGTTACTAAATTCGCCCAAACTGTTGTATATATCTCTGCAATCGTTTTATCAACGGGTCTTACTTTTAAAGGATTGGATCGAGCAGTGTCTCGACGAAATAACGTAGACGTAGAAAGGATTTTAAGTTTCACAACTCTTCCTTAACATCAGTTGACTGTCCTAAAAAGGGCGTAGTCAGCTCAAACAAACATCAAAGCATTGAATGTTTTTTCTCGCACGTGATTTCTACAGTACTGCAATGATACGTTTTTCCAACGCGATAGGCCATTGCATCGTCATCTTGCGAACTCATGGATACTGCTACACAACATCCAGAAAGTGAATCGATCAAATCAAATGCCGGACTGAAACCATTTTGAGAAAATTTAGAGCATTCTTATAAGGTGCATTTGTGTGGGTATTTTGCGCTAGAACAAAGTTGAAGACAATCAGTTTCAGTTTAAACAAACATTAGCCGCCCACATTCGTGAGCTCGTTTTTGTTGCTGTCTTATGCTGCCCATTTGGATGAACAGTAGGAGAACGACAAGAAAGTTTAATTAAAGTCCACGAGAAAATGGACTAAGGTAGCAACGAAATTGAGAAGACGAACGTCTTTGTTTACGACACTTATCCATATCACTCCGTGTATCGAACCATGGGTTACGATCATCCCGAGGTCTCCATCCAGGGAGTCTAACGGGATCTATGTGGCCGAGTCTCCCGGTTAGGGTTTTCAATCCCTCGTGCCAGGTTTTGACTTGACCACTCTTGGCTTTATTCCATCCACTAACTGCCTCGGTGAAGGTCGCTTGCCGTGGCAACTTATTTGGTGGCATGCGTAACACATGCCCCAACCAACGCAATCTATGGAGGTCCACCACTTGTTCCAGTGGGCGACCGCGGTTACCCAAAACTGCGCCTATCTTCAGCATTGCTCTTCCGGCTGCTCCACCAGATTTGTGCAATGCGGCGTAGACAGCAGTGTTCAAGTGTTCTGAATACTTTGAAAAAATACCGGTGGAAGTCTCCCAGATTGCTTCCACCTCGTACCCCAGGTGATGGGAATGTTTTTTGTCACTGAATATTTTTAATTGCCTATACACCTATAATGAATTCGTATTTTAGCGGTTCAGCAAAGAGATTTCAAAACTGGATTTGGATGACCATTTGACTTTTGTTCAATATATTTTAATTTGAAGTTAATACGGTTCAGTGGTTCAAAGGTTGTCGCTATTTTTTATAAATAATATCAGCATAACAGAAGTATCAATTATTCATGAAAACAGCACGGCTTTGTTTGCTCCTATATTCGTCTACAGAATTCATTGCATTGTAGTCCAAAGTTAAGTGGCAAAATCGAGCATGAAAGAAGAACACCTGTTTGCCATTCACGAAATTTAGATCGGCTGATTGCACCTCATCCGTAATTGGGATTCTTGAGCAGATAAGCTATACTGAAAGCAATTGAGAAGTACTAGTTGCTTTCGGTTGTGCTCTAGCACAGGCGCTTAGCCTCCATGGACTGTGGTGGCTGAGGAATGTCACTTCGGCCAACAGATGGGATTCTTTGTTGTGCTTTTAGTTGAGTTAGCAGTAATTGAAAGTGGACTGGTGATGATCTAATCGTGACCTGATATGAAGGTATGAATGCCCTAATTGAGGATCAATTTTTCCTATTAGCTGGAGAAATGGATCCTGTTGCTCGCGGCAGGCTTTCTTTCCCATCTCATATGTAAAATTTAATTGTACTGAATCAATTAAAAAGAGACTGCTGCTGATGAGAAAAAACGGATGAGGAGTTCATCCCAGATCACTAAATTGATTGAAATATTGTGTATATAGATACTTTGGGAAATTGATGGGTTTTGAACTGTTCACCCGATGTTGGTAACAGATTCCACTTTTTCAACTCCTCCCTTCTAGTCGAACTCAAGCAGCCATTGAACCACTAAAAGCACAACTGAAAGAGTTGCAGAACTATGCCGCGGAACAACGGAAAGCCATATCAACATTCAAAGCAAAAATTCTGACAAACGAGGAAAGAATTCAGGATTTGTTGGCAAAATCATTGGAACGTGCTCACTGATCAAATAAATCATTCTCGTTTATCTTGTTCTCACGGTGAATTGCTTATGTTGTGATAACTGCAATATAATGTGTCATTTGAAGCAAGCCTCGTACCTTCCAGCTCACTTAAAAGTCTATGTGCGTGTAAAATGGAAAGCAACTGTCACAAGCTCTTCCTGCATTTTCGGTAACTTCATATGCAAAGCACAGCTTTCTCATAGTGGCCCCCAAGCGCATACGCTCAGTTGTGTATTTCGCATCCAATGGCGCACTTGATTGATCATCATGGGGACGGCGCACATCCCGATTGACCTTTCAGGTATGATGCAAGAGCAGATGCTATAAACTAGGGTGAATACTTTTGATGATATACAGGACAGCCTTTGGTTTTAACTTTTGTCTCTACCCTATGTACTGTCAACACAGCTCTTAAGCTCATATAACAAGAGATACTGTATGTAGTAAAAGAATTTGCAGTACGAGCAGTGGTGGCTGGGTGGTAACGTCACCAATTATCACCCCGGAGGATGTGTTCGAATCCCACATCCACCGCCTGTCTTTCCCCATTATGCGTGTTGTATGGCAGCCCTTTGATTGGCAGATTCCTCTTTCCTGAAAAGTTGTATCTTCGTATACTCGATACAAGGAAGT